TATTATTATTATTATCATCATCATCATTATTGTGCATTCATATGGACGAGTGTATTTTGACATTTAATCATTGGCTCTCCAGTTCCAAGCAACAAACCTGTGATTGGCCACACTTGGCTGACTGTGCAGGAGGCGGGGAGACGTCAGAAAGTGGGAGCGACTACGGCGGTGGGGACGAGGGTGGGAGTTATTACGAGGACTCTGCCCATTACGACGCCCCGGCTGCCCACGCAGAGGCATCGGGCTCCAGCTCTAGCTCCAGTTCCGGCTCCAGCTCTCACTCGTCCAACGACTGGTCTCAGGCGTCTGGAGATTTGAAAAGTAGGTCAAACCTGGAAAATAGAAAGTGTGACATGATACGTATGCACATTCTCAGTGGCTTGCACTCCATTAACATTTTGTCCGTCTGTTCAATCTGTTTGTTATCGTTTTGCTTTCACTGATCACAGCACCATTATTTTGAAAAGGACGAATTAACGGGTTGTTGAAGGGACCCGTCTGGTGAGATCTATTTCTTTTGTCTCCGTCTGTTGTTTTTTCAGTCTAAATAGCTATGAATTGAGCTTAACGCCTCTATAAAAAAATGCACGTTCAATTATGAGGCTGGAGCTGAGAACTGAACGACGTCACAGAACATATATTTTATCCAAATCGGAAAATATCCACAATAAGGCCGCAGCAACCCAATTTCAAGAAAGCCTTGCTATGGATTTGAACCAATGTCATCCTTACCGCAGTCTGGGTAATACTCGATCTTATTGGTGTGCTCGTCCTAAAGTGTCTTTTCTGTACTCAAACAGACGGGCAATGGTTGAATGGAGCTTTTTGTCTCCGATTGTTTTGTGAAAACCTACGGGTCGAACGCTAATCGACAGCAAAATCGAAATCAATAGAAAGTTATTGACCCTTCAAATACACATCAGAAACAATAAGCTATGGAAATCGAATGTTCTTTCAAAGACATATCAGAAAATATAAACAGTAGAAGTTCAATGGATTTTCAAAAACCCATAAAAAACATTAAACAATAGAGATTGTATGGCTGTTCAACAACAATTTTCTGACTCGTGTCTGTTTCTGCGATAATTGAAATAGACTTCTCTATTTCATCTGTAGAAGAGTGCACGACTTTGGGAGAGAGGGAGGGAGAGAGAGAGAGAGAGAGAGAGAGAGAGAGAGAGAGAGAGAGAGAGAGAGAATGATTGACAGAAGTTATGGCAGTTGTCTGAGACAAGGATAACACCTTTTTATTTTCCCATGAGCTGTTGTAAGAGGTGGGTTTTTATGTCGATATCCACATTTTTCTTGGGCCTGGTTTCTGGTACACTTCGGTCATCAAATGCGATTATTCTGATCTCATTTCATTTCGTCATCTCCATTAGCTGATAGCCACATGAATGTATTTTGATGCGTCATCTTCTAGCTTTCTCTTCCAATACTCATCCGACCTTGGTAGGCAATAGAAAGAATTAAAAGGGGAGGGGGGGGGGCATTTTGAAAAGCTTTGTATGTAAAGGTATCCAAAGCTTTTCTGTCGATGTCTGCAAAGGCTTCTCCAAAGACATTATGATTATGGGCAAACAAGCCTTCATTTTTCGTTTTTCTGAGGGGGGGGGGGGGGGGGAATTGAAACGTGTGGTCAAATGGTGTGGGATCCGTGGTGCTGGTACAATAGGAACCAAGGGGATAAACAGTTCGCTCGCTCTTATTTTAACACCAACCTGCCGTGTTCTCAAACAGTAAGTACCTGGATCAATCAGCCAGCGGCAGGAAAACCCTGGTGGCGTCCGGCCGGCGTTGACCCTAAGGAATGGCACGATGTGTCCAAACTGAAGACTCCAGATTACGCCGTTCACATCCCGGACGATCCGAAAGATGACGAGGAGTCGGAGAAGCCGAAGAAGAAGCCGAAGAAGAAGGGAGGGAAGAAGTCTGCGGGAGTTTCCAAGACCAGCTCAGTGTCTCAGCCTTCCCCCAAGATTGAGAGGCAGAATTCGGGATCTCTTCAGTGGGGAGGTGGAGGTATTGAACCCTTTGTCAAATACGTATTCCTGTGATAGAAAGTCATTGGGGAAGAAGATAGGAGATCGGTTTCCGTTAAGTGCTGTTTGCAAATACTGGGTTTTTAAAAAGTTTTCATTGAGTCAGTATCACCACGGCAACATTTGGCTAGGACCAGATGGGATAACTGTAAGACTGAAAAGCAGACGAATCTGCAGACAATTTTGGATCACCCGCCGACCACCCTCTGCATTTAAAAGCAAAAAGGGTTATTCCTTAGGTAGATACTCCGAACTATTGCCTATATATCTAGTCGGACCGACATAACAAATCTCTTTTGATAAGTATGGTTATCTGCTATTTGAGCCGCCGACAGAACTCCGTAGAATCTCTCAAAGCTACATAGGTGAGGAAATCTCCTCGTGGGTCAGTCGCAATAACAAATGTTAACATTAAGCTCTCTAGACGCAAAAATGAGGCAGTATTTCAAAGAAATGCTAGTGCAACGACGGGCTTTAATTGAGGATGTAATCTTTCTTTGGTCAGTTGTCTGAATATGAATTACTAACAATTAGATTGCGTCTC